TGGGCTGCTCGAAGGCAATGTTGAGCCCAAGTTGTTGGCCCTTTGTGTCCAAGTTCTGGACGAGCACAGTGCGTAGTTGGCTGGCTTGTAGGGAGTCCATGCCCAGTGAGAAGAAATCGGCGTCATCTGTCAACAGGCTGGTGTCCTTGAGGGGCAGAATTTGCAAAATTTGCTTCTTAAGGAAGTCCCTCAGTTCAGGCTCAGACAGAATTAGCGTGCCAGTCATGGCGTCCACAGCGGCATAAACCTCTTCAATCAGAGGTTGGAAGTTCTTGTAGAAGGCTTGACGGATGATGGTGCCCTTATCAGTCCGAGGGTAGGGAGTGTCTGCAGGCAACACTCGGACCATATTCTTCGAGAGTTGTCCAAACGCAGGTAGCGCCTCGTGAGCCTTCTCAACAGCTGGCCAAATGCTGCCAATGACCTCCTCATCGGAGAGTGACTCGGTGCCAGGTGCACGAACGACAGCCAGTCCGATCTGAGCTTTGCCTGCTCCGAACGCAATGGCTTCGGCAACAGTGCTGCGCTGCCGGACTCGTCCTTCCAGGTCAAGTGGGTTGACCTTTTCTCCATTATATAGGATGATTGTATCGTCCAGACGAGCATAGTACTTGTATGCCTCCATGGTGGGATGCTTGACAAACAGGTCCTTGGTAGCGTACGAGCCATCGGGTCGGTTGGTCATGACCTTAGAGGGCCAGCCATCTAGACACACTAGCTCGAATACTCCCGGAAAGCGCTCTTCAAATCTCAAGAATTTCTTGACATAATCAGAGGGGCGGAGCCAGTCCCATCCTTTGTCTTCGCGAGGCCTGGTGGACATCATGAGCTGACCGGTTTCAGTTCTGCATGTGTGTTAGTAGAATATTCTAATGCGGTTGAGAAGCACTCACGATCCGTAGTGACTGATGAGATGAACACCATTCTCGACTAGCAAGTTTCCTAGAGAGTCCGGGCATGCTGACCCTCCGAACATGACGGCCTTAAGCTTAGCCAAAGCGGATATTCCCTCCTGTGTCTCAGCCAATAACTTCAGCGCATAAGGGACACCGTAGAATATTTCAAATTCATTCGATCCCATAATCTCGAGCAGATACTGCCTGGTCAATGGAAGATTGGCATTGTAGAGATGCAGCTGTTTCTTAGCGTGAATTGTCCGGAAGAGACAGCTAATTCCATGATTGTGGTACAGCGGCAAAGTAACGAACCCGGACATGTTCATATGTCCCGAGTAATTCTTCAGTGCAGCAGATTGGGTGTGGAAAATAGGCTTCGGAAGTCCAGTCGAGCCACTGGAATGAATAATCCATGCGATATGCTTGGACTCGATTTTCGGGTCAAGGTGTGGGACCAGGTTCGTGTCAACATCCTCTGTAATGGGATAATGATAGTTTTCCTCAGTCGGAATCTCATCAATGACAAGCTCAGGTATCCGCTTCTTGATATCTTCAGCGGTGTCTCGGAATGAGCTGTGAATGAAAATATGTCTCGACCCGGTCTTTTCCAGTAGCGAGACGTATGCATCCACGGATATTCTGGTTGATAGGAGCAGTCCACTGTGACTCAGCTTAGCCAGGGAAAGCAGCATCACCAGGTAGTTGAGGTCAGATGGTCCCAATAAAGCGATGACTTTGGGGGTTTCAGTTGACGACTTCCGAGGCGGAATGCGATCTGATAGCACCTTGGAGACGCGGAATGCGAAGACATCCAGTTGCTGCAGTGGATAGTCCACATATTCGATGCCGGTGCTCGGATAGGAGATGATGGGCTGTGCGGCTCCAAGTGATGCACGTTGGCGAACAAGTTCGTCAATTGTCGAAGGCTCCTGGGATTCCAAAGGCAATGTGACATCGCCTTTAGACCGAGGCTCCTGTAGTGTGGGTGGTTGTGGTGCGATTGTAGAGAGCATCTTAAGTTTTGGGTCGTTGTTGTTACATAGACAAGATATTTAGTAAGCAGTATCAACCTTGAGTAACTTGGATCGATCATTGAAGAAATGTCAGTATTTAAATAAGTCCCAGATACTCTATTGTTCAATGAAGACGATGTCCGATGCCGTGATGGAGGGCTCGGAAATGCTAGTGCTGAACGGATATTTATCCGACCACTGCCTCCGCACGAACATCACCGGAGACAGTGCACTCACTCATCGAACGCCGTAGTATATAGAGATTTGAATTTTACTTATTGTGATAAAATGGGTAAATAGAGTGTGATAAAAGGTCATATTGTTGGTCTCGACTTCCAGAACTATGGTCACAACTCGAGTGAATTCAATTAGTTTTCCGGGTAGGGTTTGCACGATTGCATACTTGAGCTACAAAACAACTTTTCCGAGCAATCAATACCGACTAGTTCTGGAACTGTGAGATGAATATGGAGTATCAAGATGGGGACAGATGATGCAATAAAGGAGAAGTTTCCGAGATGACAAGAAGCATAGAGGAAAGAATATTCACAAGGCGAATGCGAGGCAGCCGATCATGGAGATCCACTGCGGATTCCTCTCCGGGGGTCATTTGCAACTATCCCACTGGCTACGGATGCATGTCCTGCCCTGACAGGATATGTGGAGGTAATATCCGCTATTTACTGACCACGTGCAAGTAAAATCCCATGGAAAAGTTTTGTCAGGCGCAGAACGGCACAGGCACCCTCATGTTATCGGTTGTTGACGTTAGCATATTTCATCAGGACCAGAATTAATTTTTCATCTCTGTGCTGATGTTGCGAAAGGCTTCTGGCATCTTTTAAGTCACGATAGCAGCTCAGAAGACCGCACTTTCAACCAGGTCTCTCGGTGACTGTTAGTAGATATGAAAGCAATTGGAATCGGCCATATTCTTGCTAGAAGATGCCAGGTCAGAAAGGCAACTGAGGGCTTTTAACCGCATGGGAAGACCACACTGGTGGTCATCAATGACGACTTCAAAGTTAGCATGGTGCTAACTGCTATGGTGTGCAGAAAGTAACTTGAAGTCTTCGGCATGTTAGCAATTCAAATACAGGCCATTGATTGACACTGGAGGCTTTATAGGAATAGCGTAGAAGGAAAACATGAAAGATGGTGGAAGACCTAGAAGAGGAATTTTATAACGTGTAGGAAAGTGTATGGTATGGAAGATGTCGCGAAGTGAATTAAAGCCCTTGTGTAGCCTCGAGGTATCTCACCTTTAATGGATTTTCTCTCACCCCCAAACCATCGGAGCTGTTAACATGTCTGAGATTCTATCTCTGGTCGGAGTTCTCGAAAATTTGGTAGCGACCGGCTGCAAAATAACCGGATTTCTCGAACTACGAGCCGCGAGGACTCAGATCTTTACGTACTATGATGTTATAGTGGCGAGTGTGGAAGTCTCGGGCATACTGAGAAATGTGAAGGTTATTCGCCGATGTACTGTGACACAGAAATTACTCATGGGTTGCGTTCACACATTCCGAAACTGGAGGAGAGCTCATCAGATTGACAAGGGACCCTTTGCATCCATTGTTACACAGTGGGGTAATCAGATCCATAGTAAGCTTATAGATACTTTCTGGAACGAGCTCTGGGAAGCAAAAGATTTTATATCTGAAGCTTAGATAGCCGAACGCTTTATCCTCCAGCCAATTGTGTAAGCGGCGATGAGCTTCTGGATGGACCTAATATGCATCTTGCAGACGCCCTCCCATAGAACGTACGTCCTGGTTCGACATCTCATCTTTTCATGTACTGGAAGGAGAGCGCCATGGGCAATGCTTGGGCCTCTGTAACGCAAGCTGCAACCATAGGATGCTGTGAAATGCTCGTATCTGCATCTTTCAGGCAGCATCTACACCTTTTTGCGCATCTCCGCTCGCCTAGGCAGCCTCTGATGGACATCTACATCATTATTTACCACACTGTTCAATAGAGTAACATTTGAGTAACTATACTGACTGCAATTGTAGTCATATATCGTCGTCATCTTTGGTCAAAGCACTTCTGGATCCCTGCCTCTGTCGAAGGCATTGTGCACACCCGCGGGTATATAATTGAGCAGTTCCTCTCGCTCATTTCTGCTCTCAATATCATGCCATCGTTCTGATCGGTGTTCGGATTCAACATATTTTATCTTTCAAAAATTTAGTTTATCATTATCAATCTTCCAACATGCTTTGGGAAAAGCCAGGTGGCGGTGAACCGGCCCAGATTACCTGGGACCTCAAGGAGCCATTGACGGTCAAATGGTCCCACGTCTCGTGAGTTTTTGCCATTATATTTCTTTATATGTCCAATTGCTTACTGGAAACAGTGGAGAGGAGAACAAGGCCTTTTGCATCTACCTCACCAACCGCGTTGACTATCCTCCAGTGACCGAGGTGGTCCTGCGCTACGCCGTCATGGGCCGAGATGAGGTTACTATTCCTCCACCCGGCCCGATGGATGTCCCTCTTAAGTATGTTATGCCTGGTATACTTAGAAGTAGACATAGTGTTAATTATCTTTTCTAGTTGCAACTACCGCCTTTGGGCTAGTGCTTGTGGAGACCCTGAGACTATCTATGCTGAGACGGAGCTGTTCTGCATTGACATTAGAGACAATGCTGATCTCTAGTTGATGCCCGAGGTACTAAACTTGCTGCAGTGCACAGGGTATCTTCGATTGTGATTTAGCTTGAATTGTTGAGAAAGTTGATGTCTACGATACGCCAATCACCGTCGGATGTCCAGTAGTGTTGACCTTTAAGCAAGAGACTGCTAGTATGTAGTAATTTTTATCTCCGATATTCGACCGAATCTTCCTTGTAGATGCTTTATTAATCATCAAATGAAGTAAATTTGTCATACAAAGGATGGCAGTGATTCGAGACTCGTTCTTTGATGGTGCCATAACTTCGGCCGAACTCTCGGTCCAAGCCAGTATATAGACCAGCTGTCTTCGGCAGTGTTCACTCCAGAACTACAACTTCAGTTCACACGAACCATAAGAGTATTTTACTTTTACACTTTAGCGTTTCTTCCTCACCCCAACTACGAAAATGGTCAAGGTTGCAATTGCTGGAGGCTCTGGAGGTACACTCTTCCATCGTTCCTGGTCTCACCAGTTATATCACTGACACTCGAACAGGTGTTGGCCGAGAGGTTATCGACGCCCTTATTGCTGCGAAGAAGCATACAATCATTGTTTTGACCAGAAAGGTTCGTCATGTCCGATGACCGCAGTCAATGGAAGAATTTTTACATTAACCAGTCTATACAGGATACTCTAGCCCAAGAACTTACCCAAGGCATCACTTGGGTCAAAGTCGACTACAACGACACCACTCAACTAACCAATGCTCTTCAAGAAGTGCACACCGTTCTCTCTTTTATCACTACGCAGGATGATCCCGGAAGCACCGCTCAGAAGAACCTCATCGATGCGGCTGTTCAGGCCGGAGTGAAGCGCTTTGCGCCAAGTGAATGGACTTCGTGAGAATTTTATCCCACTTCTACTATCATCCCAACACTAACCTAGTATAGCTCCCGCTTGGACTACCTGGACTGGTATGCCTACAAAGGCGAAACGCGCCGGTATCTCCAAGAGCTGAACAAGGATAAGAAGGTACGAATATACAACGTTCTACCAGGCAGAACATCTAACACAACTCAATCAGGTCCTCGAGTATACCCTCTTCCAACCCGGCGTGTTCGTCAACTATCTTACCCATCCACATCAATCGGCCCGCCACCTGCCCTCAATCGCGACCCCCTTCGACTTTGCCAACCGCCGAATGATCTTGGTGGACGGGGACGATGGAACCCGCATCACCTTGACGGCAGTTCAGGATATTGCTAGAGTTGTGGCCAGAGCCGTTGACTATGAAGGCGAGTGGCCAGTTGTTGGGGGTATCCAGGGTTCCAACATCTCCATCGGTGAATTTATTGCTCTAGGGGAGAGAGCTCGCGGTAAGTTTGTTCTCTACAACATCACATAGATACAATCATTTCCTGATTCATTATCTCCAGGTGGGCTCCCATTTACCATTGAGCGAGTGAAGGCAGAAGATTTGGAAGCTGGGAAGTGGGAGACGTCGTGGACACCAACAGTGGATCATCCTTCTATTCCGCCCGAGCAGGCGGCAGTGGCCTCGAAATATATGAGCAGTCGGATTCTTTTGGCGGTTAATGCTGGATCCTATGCCGTTTCGGATGAATGGAATACTCTGCTGCCTGACTTCGAGTTTACCCCTGTCGAGAAGTTCTTGACTGAGGCGTGGAAAGGAAAGGCTTGAGTATGCGGTTGAGAAGGTTGTTACGGATAAGCAGGTAGAAGATTTTATCTAGCTTAGTAAATATAACACGTCTTTCGAGACGTTATCCAGCCATAGCGTATTGTACTAGGGCTGATGTGAGCATGGCGTTATTCCGCCGAGCTCGGGCGAATCCAACACCTTAGCCCGAGATCCTTCCGCAGAGCATCTCATTTATTCTCTGCCCCCTCACATTTCGACCAAGAGACACTGAAGCCTGCCTGGTAGTGACTGGAACGAATATGGATAAACACTCCCAAGAGAAACGGAGAAAAGTCCGCAAGGGCACAAGGAGCTGCTGGGAATGCAAGCGGCGCAAGGTTCGCTGTATCTTCAGCTCCTCCTCCAATACCATCTGCAATAACTGCAGGCGACGGGGATCTACATGCATCAGTCAGGAGCTCCCAGGCAGCCCTATATCTACAAGCAAAGACTTGGTCGATGCTCGACTCGACCGAGTGGAGAGGATTCTGGAACAGCTGGTTGGCTCAAACATCACGGAAGCTGTATCTTCTGGGGACTCCCCCAAAACTCCCCCGACCTCTGGGACACTGCTGGACAATTATAGTATAAGCTGCAGCCAAGAAGAACAAGTGAGTTCAGCCTTACTCTTCGTTCCAAATACTCAGAGCTGATACTCTCAGGTGCCGTCTCTAGCCAACAATATCCCCGGGGGCCCGCATGAGAGCATAAACCGCGACCTTTTCGCGGCCTGGCCCAGCCAGAGGGAGCTCAACCATATCTACAATCTCCCTGTTGGCATATCGGTATATATGAACTATGAAATCTGGGTCCCTAATTCCCTCTCCACAGACGACAGCCTACCGACTCCCCAAGAGATGCTTCAATTACCAGCACCAAACTCCCACCCCGTCCTAATAGCACGCAAACTCCTTACCCTCGCCATCTTCCTCCAAGGCATCTCTCCACCGTCCATCAAAAGCTCATCTGACCTATCCATCTCCCACCACAACATAATGACCCGCGCCGTCACCCGCGCCACCAGACTAGTAACCACAAACGACGAACTCACTCCCTCCATCGAAGGCCTGCAATGCATCATGCTGGAAGCCCAATACCAAAACTACGCTGGAAACCTCCATCAGGCATGGCTAGCCACCCGCCGAGCCACAGCCATCGCACAAATGCTGTCGCTCCACCGAGGGCTTCCCACATCATCCCTAAAGACTCTCGATCCAGCTATACGCGACAAACTAGACCCAGATTACCTGTGTTTCCGCCTCATCGAAATGGACCACTACCTCTCCCTCATGCTCGGCCTACCACCTACCAATCTCGAAGCACGGTGCCTCTCCCCAAAATCCTTAGAAACATGCACACCCCAAGACTGCATGCACCGCATGCACTGCATTATAGCAGGCCGTATCCTCCACCGTACTGAAGCAGATATCAACAATATCTCCCTTACGAACGACATCGACCAAACGCTCCAAAACACAGCCGCCCAGATGCCTCCTCAGTGGTGGCTCACCCCAGACCTAACACCCAACCAAACCAAAACCACCATCATCCAGAATACCCTCCGTCTGAACGCCCATTTCACGCACTACCAACTCCTCCTCCGTCTACACCTTCCCCACATGCTCCGCTCATCCCAAGATACTGCAGTGTACGACCGAAGCAAACTCACCATCATAACCGTAAGCCGGGAGATACTGGCCCGGTATATCGCTTTCCGTGCCTCGAATCCAGCGCATTATTACTGTCGTGGTGTGGATTTCATTGCCTTTGTGGCGATGACTGTGCTTTGTATTTCGCATATCGACTCGTTCAGTAATATGCAGCCTGGGAAGGGAACGATAGTCAGTTTCCTCGGACATAGTCGACCAAGTGATCGCGGGATTATGGAACGGACACTTTCTATTATTGAAGATATGGTAACGTCGGGTTCTGGAACGGATGAAATTGCGGGGAAATTGGCGGGTATAATGAGGCATTTATTGGGGGTGGAGGAGAGTGCTGCTGGGGGCGTTGGGTATGTGGCTAGGGAGAATATGGGTGAGGATGGGAAGGGAGGAGGGGAGTATGATGGGAGGGTCGAAGATGGGGGGAGGAGTTTACATGTATATATCCCGTATTATGGGACGATTGGGTTTGAGAGGTTTGAAGGCATGGATAGCATTGGGGTGGGAGAGTGTGGTGGTGAGGAGTGGGATTTACATGCGGTGGATGTGGCGCTATTCAATAGTTTATTTGGAGACATGGTGGTTCCTGATGTTGGGGAGGAGAGGTGGGAAGAATGGGTTGGTGTATAGAGATGAAGAGTAGGTCGACACAGAAATTATCTGAATCTCTACGAATATCACCTGTTCCCTCCGCTCTATATCCACCATGATATGAAGATCTCTATACCCTCTATAGTCTTCTCCCGGAGGGAGATTCAAACAGCATTCCACATATCCCACCCCGAAACAAGGGTACTAACCACCATCCCAACGCCAACCCCCAACTGACCCATTTCAATCCACCCCAAAAAGGTACCAGGGATGAGCAGATCACAAGCATCAACACAGAGCATCCTCTTCAGGAGCGAGAAGCGGTTGATAGAAGGAGCTTCTTTCTTCTCCTTCTCATCCTTCGTCTTAGATGCAGACGACGCCGAAGAGAAGGTAATATCATAAGCAGCCCCCAAAATAGAAAACCCCAGCGCATAGAACCAGAATTTATTCGCTTCTATTAATATGGCTTTGTTGTAGGGGTTTGGGTAGATGGATGTTGCGTGTAACTTGCATGTCACTTTAGTATTGTATCATGGGTTGGATAGTAAGGGAAGGGAGTACATACCAGGGTTAAGTCCTCCAGGAGAAAGTAACATCCAAAGCAGGACCATTTACTTATCTCAATGACTGTCTTGATGACATTACCATGAGCGGAAGAAGGGCTGCCCAGCAAGGCAAACGCCCGGTTGAAGCAGTCGATAAAGTTGAAGAAGCGGAGGAAGCGTCGTGCTGTTTAATTTTCAATACTGGTTTATTCTCATGGTGGATGTGGACATTTAGTAGGATTATTGGAGAAAACTAACTCAAAGCAAACTGTGTCTTGGCGACGTTGAACCGCGAAATGGACTCATTTTCCAGAGTGGGTATTTGCAGGGCGAGCACGCAGAGGGATTGGACCAGACGAAGGGTCTTTTCGAGGCCTGGCGTCGTGCGTGTAAAGCGGTATAAGTGGTCTAACATTCTGCTTTCTTTCTATTGCTCTGGGGGTATATATGTGCGGGGGTATGCAGTCTATTGTAGATGTGTTATTTGGCGGCGGTGGGTAATGACGCGCTTTAAGTACTAGAGATTAATTAGGCTATTTGCCAAGGGGCTGGTATGGCGGGTACGCGATATCGGCTCGGTATCCGCTTATCTATCATATTCACCCCCATCAGGTTCACAACGAGGATGATATACGTGACATGTCACTTTCAAATACACACAATTGTTCAACGCTAATCTACACATCTACAGCAATCACCGACCTCCAGCAATATCCTGTCCCAGCCGGTATCCTCCGACCTTCTCCCACTCAACCTTCTGCCGTGTGATCGGCAACTGTCTCCGCAGCCCCTTGAATACTCCCTCGGCCGTGCTAACAAACGCCCGGTTCAACTCCTCCTGGTAATCCCGCTCCGCAGCTGCGATCCGCGAAATGATGGCACTGGCATCCACGGATTGCACTGACAGATTCACCGGCTTGTTGGTGTTGAGAGCCACGTTGCCGTCTTCATAGTAGTGCACATCGACCTTGATCTGGCCGGAGATGGTGGTCGAAGAGGAGTTCACGGGGAGAGTGTAGATGGCGCGGAAGCGACCGTTCCTGTCACCAATTAGTATTTCATCATCCAGAACCTGAAATGGGGGTGTACCAGAAGTTATTAGGCGAGTAGCGGTTCGCAACGAGAACAATGGCCACGGCGGTGTCGTCCTCGATCGGGTACACGCCGTAGCTGCAGGTGCGGTAGTGTTCGGTGGCGTGTGCGGAGAGGGACTTGAGGAGAGATTTGCTGCAATCCTGTTAGCAATACACCCCGTGACTGAGTCAGATACAAGGGGAAAGTGCGTACATCAAATCCGCATTCTGAGACTCCAGGACGTATGACTGTGCTGCCGATGCTTCCTATTCCCCGTCAATTCCTTATCTTCCCAATGGCTTGTGTCCACCCACCTGCGTGACATGGTCCACCTCAAACGACGTCTGACTTTCCACATCGAAGTACCGGTTTCCCTCGAGCTTGTTGTATTCGCTGATCAGGACCTAGAGGTTGTCAGAACGGTCGATCGACTCCACCATCAGGAAGCTAGCTGCCTACCTCCTGGCTCGCACCGGGAAGCTTCACGGTCGCCAGTTGTGTCTCATTGTAGCGCTCAAAGGCCGGTGCGAGGGAGGGGATGATGTCGGGACCGTCGGAGGTGAGAGCCTTGACGTCTGTAGAGCTGCTTAGTATGGTCTCGGTGCAGGGTACGATGAGGGTGGCAACGATCGAAATGAATGGTCTGGATTGCATTGCATACCTGCGACAACGTCCGCGAGCTAATAGATACTGTTAGCTATGTTCGGGTTCATGCAGGTATAGGAGCATGAGGGGGTAGCTGCCTACCTCGCCGGGCGGGGCACCCTCGATGAAGGAGGATGCGAGTTCGGTTGTGGATGCCATGGATGATTATAAAACGTACTCAGCTGCCAGAGTTGAGTATGTCAAAGGGTAAAGGTAAGCTAGTAAGGGATTAAGCACGAAGGATAGAGGGGCAGTGGATGCTGGGTGAGCAGATGGAGCTCCGATGTCAACACGGAGTTAGCGCGAGTCCCGCCGAGCCCGCACGTGGCCCCTGACCTGCCGCTATCCGTATAGCATTTCTACAACACTACTTACTATATCACTGATGTCTGACAAGCAACTCTGATGCATTCACTTCAGTATGCAGTATAATGTTTATTAATATTACTTATGATGCAGTTAAGCTATGTCCCAAGTATAGCACCAATAAATGCAAAGATAACGCCAAACTCAACCGATCCCGCTAACAGCATTGAATCCTTAGTCGATACCGAAGAATGTTGTAATAGTTATAATGATGTAGACAGGCTCAGCCAGCCTACTCAATGCTCATGTTCATGAAGCCATCGCTGGTTTCATTCATCCCATGCAGTCCTACTCGTTTCAGGGTTCCGGTATGGTTGTTACCATTGCGAGGTCCATTTTCGGTGACAGGCCGGTCGGGGAACAGCGAGCCAAGGTTCGATCTTGGTGGGCCCCAGATGCTGGGACTCGTGTCTTTGACCACCGGTGAATTAGGCATGACCGGGCTACTCTGTGCGCTCATGCTTGGCGATACCGCTCGCCGCTTGAAGAGGTTTGGATCGAAATCATCATCCCGACGGCGTTTCCTCCTGAACTCGCCGACAAACCCAGCCGGGGCGCCTTGAGATGCTTCACTGCGCGAGCCGGGTCGTTCGCTCGGTTTAGCAAATTCTGTAGTCGATCCTACAGTGGTAGATGGTGTGATGTCCATAGCAAGGTCATCTTCAGAGACCGATGAAGCTCCATGTCGGCGTTGGGGTGGGGGCGGCGTGCGGTAGCGCTCGTCGAACGAATTCCAGAACTCGACTCCTCCCGAATTTCGGTTGGCCTGATCGATGAATTTTGGTTCGTCCGGTGTCGTCAATCCGGCTTTTGGAGGGATTTCCTCTGGGGTTTGCCCGTGAGCAACAGGAGTGGACGTGTCAAGAGCCGATAAATCACCCAGCGGCGATTTTGCTTCAACGTCAGGTTCGTTCTCTTTCACTTGTCGAATAACTTCCGCTTCTCGCTTGGCCTCGCTATCAATTGGAGCAGACTCCTCCATCAATGCCGCCCGGATACGCGCAAAGGTTTTCGTTTTTGGCTAACAGAGTCAGATGCATCCTATGTGATCGGTATAAAGTACTTACGAGTAAGCTCCCACGACGGGTAACGGCCCGTCGAATTACCCCCAAAGGCCCGCCCTCGGAGTTCGACGTGCTTGGGCTCTGCCCACGCGCACCGCGGTTCTCACCCTCGTCGCTGACATCTGAAAGTCGCAAATCCCGCGTACCCATGCTGAGACTAGCCCGTCGGGCACCTGCGCCAAAGTAACCCCCATTCTGACCTTCGATACTCTTCATCACCGGTGGTGAGAGAGGACCCGGACTTTGCTTGGAACTGCCACTAGCACTGCTGGAGCTGTGCCTGCTTCGTCCCTTACGGAAACGGGCCCGCTGGAAGCTCATGAGGCTCGCGGCTGCTTGCGAATAGCCGCCCATCCACTCATTTCCTGGGCTGGACACGTTCCCTACAGCAAACGGACTCATTCCACCTCCCAACCGCTTCGCCTGGGGTGTATTGGTGATCATCATGTCGTCACGGTCGCCAATCATGGGTTCGTCATCCTCCTCACTACTGCTTGTATCGGATTCCATCATGTTGACGCTGGATACCGAGCTCGAAATTGTGGCCTTGTCGGCGGGGTTCGAGGTGGAGAACTGGAGGCCAGAGACTGAAGCTGGCGAGCCGCGCCGCTGCGGGATATTTACACCGCGCCCGCCAACCGTTGGGGAGGAGTCCGGGGACGCTTCTGCAAGGGTCGAGTGATGGAGATTGGTGCAAGCTCGCGAAAAGTCCAGGCCTCGGGAACGACGGGGCAGCACGGAGCCCGGCGAGCCGTAGATGGCCGAGGAATCGAGCTTCGGGGAAAGCGGGGCACGATTGGATAAGGATAAAGGTCCGGAGGATCTGGCAGAGAGGTTCAACGAGAGACTCTGCATCGACGGCCGCTGGGGCGTTTCGGGGGTGGAGGAGAGGGAGGAGTCATCTTTGCTGGGCGGGCGGGAATCATCGTGATTGATCGGCATGGCGGAAACTGGTTTTCCCGCATCGCTCAGCGAGCGAGTATTCGGTGAAGGACGCAATGGAGGCCCAAGTGTAGGTGTGTTTCTGTCGCCGGCATGGTCGGAATCGGTGCCTGAACTGGTTTGCCCGGTCCGCTGCGACAGTTGTTCGCTGAGCCGACTCGCGAATGGGATAGCCCGGCTATGGGATAGAGTTGAAGGGGTGTTAGACGACGTCATGTTTGCAACTGAGACCACTTTTTACACGTGTCACGGTGGCAGTTGTGCGTATCAGACCGCATGGAACATGATGAGGTTCTCACGAATTTCTCCCGGGGCGGTTAGTTCAGGTGGTCGACTTCACGATAAGGAGAGGGATCGAATGGTCGAGACAGTGTGGCGTGGATAAAACGTGGGATGGCAGTTATGGTTATGGTCTGGATGGATGAGAGACAAAGATAAACATCAGCACATGATGGGAGAGGTCAAGCAAAGCGCCAGACGCGGTTGAGGCCATCCGCACGCCCATGCCTGCCTCAGGTTGGCCAATCCTCCGCCAGTCCGGTGACGCCCTTGACGTCCTGCCCGCCACTTCCGGCCAATCATACACCATCTGCCCCGCCTCTAGGCTCGCCCTATGATTGGCGCGCGGACCCTAATCGTCTTTATGCCTTAGGCATTAAATATGATCGTCATACTAGTAGTGGTAGTAGTCTGTCTACCTACGGTCTAAGTAGTTTAGTGTAGAGCTAGCATTGCACTCGTTCTTAGTACTATGATTGATTCCCGGGTATCTTCCCCATGGTGAAGATCCTATGGCCGCAATGGCTCACATGCACATGGCATTATATTCTGCCGCGGCCTAGAGCGGTCAAACAGGGCGGTCACAAATTATACAGAATGCAACTCGCCTTTTCCGGAGCTGTTCAAAAATATATCTGCTCATATCCGCTTATATCCGTACTTTTTCCTGCGAGGTCGACTAGGTTCTGCCGGCCTTGGCGGTCAGCGGAGCGGTCAAATTGGCATTATCGTCTCCCAGCCACTCTGTGCTTGCGGTTAATGAGGGGTCTAGAATCCAGGGCTTTAATATGTTATACACATTAGTCCTCATGTCTGATTGGAGGATTCTCATAAGAAGATATCATTGTGTATCTACATCAGGTGGTAACTTTGATCTTATGCCTCGAGTCCCGGTATTTACAAGCCACCTCCTGCAGCCATCAACCAATGTAGGCTAGCGTCAACAGATCTCTCTCTCTCTCTCTCTGTGTGTGAGCGTAATTTCACCCAAGATGAAAAGTACAATACTGCTTGTTTTGGGCCTGTAAATTGCATCCTCATCTGACACCCGAACGGCATGGATCATCGTCTTCAACTAACTGCAGTAGCTAACCTCGGCTCTGATAAGCCATGTTTGGTTATATTCCAACCCCGCCATTTAGTACAATCCTGGTATTTTCAATTGGAATTTCCAGTTCCTACCCCCAACTTGTCTGGCGCGGGATATCTTATGAAAAGTCCTTCTTTGGGATAAGTAACGATATTGTTACCATCTCCTATTAACACAATTTACCCATACCGAAATAATACTTTCAACGCCTCCGTCAATTCGCACCTACAAATCACACCCATCATGAACCCCCGAGTAGGCGTAGGCGTCTTCGTCATCAACCACAAAGGGCAGATAGTTCTTGGTCAACGCAAAAGCAGTCATGGCGCTGGTAAGTAGTACCCCATCTAGAGTCGATGGATTTGTTTTGGTCATACAACGGTACTATTGAACTCACTACTATTTTTGGTTCTACACAGGTACCTGGGCCCTACCCGGCGGCCATCTCGAATTCAACGAGTCGTTCGAGGACTGCGCGGCACGTGAAGTACTAGAAGAGACAGGCCTCAAAGTCAGCGACATACAGTTCCTCACAGCGACCAATGATATTATGAAAGAAGAGGGAAAGCACTACGTTACTGTTTTCGTGGGCTGTACTGTTGTTGGAGATGATGCGCAGCCGGAGGTTAGTGTTATTGCAACATAACTCACATAAGGCCCTATTTTCCAGAACGACGCTACGTTGATACACCCTCAGCTAATCATTCCTTCTAGCTATTGGAACCCCACAAATGTGAACAGTGGAAGTGGGTGACCTGGGAAGAAGTTTCCTCGTATCATAGCGATCCAAACTCCAACCACAGGCTGTTCATACCCTTGGTCAATCTGCTCGAGCAGAGACCGGGATTTCATCCTGCTAGACGGGGATGACCTTGTTTCTCTCAATGATTTAGGAAGATTCACCGTTGTTTCTTTATTACCTAGAGACTATTACATACAAGACTCCAGTAGGTAGCGGCTAGCAAATTGATTTCTGTCTCTGACTGGTCTCGAGTTCCGATCCAGGCCATGATGTCTGGAGGCTGAAGGATGGTACCCCAAAGAGACTGGGGACTTGCGCTTGTTGGTCATACCTATCTTTGTTGCAGGGGGTGAGAGCGGGGATCTCGTGGTATCGTCGCTGCGATGATTAGTGCGCATTATGCTTCTGCTGCATTGTAGAAGGGGTTTGCGTCAGAGCTTTTCTGAACTTCATGTAGCTTTCTGGTTATTGTTATGACACGGTGTCTCCTGTCTTCTAATACGTGTGTGATGGCTCTTCAGTAGAGATGTGTTGCTTTAATGCCACCATCCATAGCGAGGTCTTCATCTAGCATACAGTGACATAGATGCTCACACATGAGAGTCGCCTTGTGAACATCAATTCATTCCTGTTATTTTACTCTTCACATACTACATTGCATGCCTTCGTCAGGTATGAGAGGGAAAGAAATCACTTGAAACTAGGAACCAATGCCAAAGTGTTACGCTCATGTAGCAGCCTCCAAAAGAATCCTGCCTGTTGAGTCCAAGAAAGACCTGATGCGAGACGACTCATAGAAAGCGCCATTATAGCATACCCTTAATTCCAATTGACCCAGCCGGGACTCCAGAGCGATGAATATTGAATCATTGGCTGGAAGATTGATAACCCAATAATCCTCCAGCTCAATATCACCATATGAAGCCCTCATGTAAGGCGACAAGTCCCCGACGCTACTAAAGATAAAAGTGGACATCACATCATTCACAACATCGGCATCCATATCGGCCAAAACGTCTGTCATAATCGGTATATACGACGTCATATTGCTCTTGTAGGAAGAATAACACTTCATCAACTCCTTGGACGTTTTCGAGAAATCGTGAATTCCGACTTGAATGGGCCACAATCCGAAGCGTAGTGCAACCGCATGACTACCAAGTTCAGGCCGTCCTTTGCATTGTCCCCGGAGGCTTGAAACCAGGAATGTGTTATGTTGGACACCATCAGGTAGATTGGCCTGCTCCTTTGCAGCTAGGGCGATAGCAGTATGAGCAAACGGAGTAAGCGTGATTCCTCGCTTACGCGCCCCTGCAATGATAGTTTCTGAGTCTTTGACCGAGAATCGGTATCTTTCGAACTCGTATGTTGACGGACGATGCGCTTCTGTAGGATTTGTTTCTAAGCATAAGGTTTTCGGTGCTTTAAGCTGCTTCTCAGGAAAGAAACCTCGATGATCCTCAACCCATGATTGTGGGAGCCGTGGGATCTCAGCCGCATCCCACGTCTCAACAGGGAGGTTGTTAACCTCTTCTCCTGGTTTCCATCGGACAGTGTCAGTATCAGGACACGATAGCTCATTCAGAAAGTCGTGAAACCACAGAGCTATCCCTTGAGCATCTGAATGACAGTGAGTGAGTTTCAACATAAATTCATTGCGGTCCTTGAGATGGAGCAGCATGGGAAACTCCACTGGGCCTAAGCTGTTGAGTACACCTTCTGTGTATTTTTGGCATGAACTTAGTGACAGAAAGGTTTTCTCGGTCCAGTCTTCTAACTCCTTGCCGTATGACACATTGTATATCCAGTTGCCATCGACGATAGCGCTTGCCATTAACGGATGCTTGTATCGTAGGTTCTGCCAGGCCAGTCGCCCCTTCTTGGTCAGTTCCTCCCCAGTGAGGCGAGTCCGCACTTTGACAGCGGCAGCAATGTCGTATGTTCGGCGACCAGGCGGGTGACTGATAGAGATTTGTCTCATTACAGCCTCCATACCATCAAGAGGTCTGGTGTATTGTTTCTCAGACACTCTTCCCCATGGTTTTGGAACTTCAGTAGAGTAAGAAGATTGACGAACAGTCGGTGCTGTGAATATTATTCTACAAATCAACATACTTCCATTAACCGATAGTCTTTCAATTCCTCGTGAGGAACGGTATGTCTGATACAACAGTAAACCGTTGGGATATTGGTAGGATAGTGTACTATACCTTGAAGTGCTACATGATGAGAGCATGTGGGAGCAGCGAATATTACCGTAGCGTGAGGTAGGTAACATTATGCAAAGTTGGTTCGCACATGGGACGCAAGAGCGCAACAGGTCTCATTTCAGATTCAATGTACTACTAGTTTGAACATATATAGGAGTACATTATAATACCTCGAATGGAAGATATATCCGTGGCCACTCACACTACGTACAGTACACTGGAAGCTAGGCCCAAAGACCCATGACCTTTTCGAATGCATCGACATCAGATAGGAAGTCAAAGGAGCCAACAAAATACACATCAGGCATCATCGGCTTCCCCTTGCATCTCCGTATTCCAAGGATTGTGACATGGCATTACAGGATTTGTTCATTTCTTCACTGGGCAAATCAAAGCCTAAATCAGATCCTGCCAATCATAGATGACACTGCGCTGATCCGCGGCAGAAAAATGCAGAGATGCGCGTGCTTTAATATTGAGTTTAGATGATCTTCAACCTTGTTGAAAACAGTAATGAAGGGGGGCCACGACGTCATAAAAGGCAGGGGAGATACGTAAGTCGACTAAACTTGAATGGAATGAGTACTTAATCCATCCTCCAATCCTGGATATCATCGGATGCCAGCTTGGAAAGGTATCCTTGCATGAGACTACCTCTCAGTATCCGTTCTATACTGGCGGCAAAACTGCGTTACAATGCATAGTTTAACGAGCTGCTGTATCTCCATTTGCATTCGAGGGTAACACTTTCGAAAACATTGCATTTATCTTTACAAAATACTACAATCTTGAGCCTAGGGGTTTCATGTGTCGATCGCATCGGAGTTAATGAGAGCCATCTTGACGGTTATTCGAACATGGTCCACTACTCTGCGGTCAATGACGCAGCAGAAAGGCCTAGAACATGCCAATGCACTGTAGAAATCCAAATTCAGTCATATTTTGTGTGCAAAGTGCTATGCATCATGTAAGACTTCGTTCCTGGCCACGTCAAGGACCCCTTACTAAACCCACCCTTGCTGGCCCCTCCGCGACTACCCGCAAAAACGGGAACATAGAAGCCATAAGGCTCCCTCCATTCTCTGCACAATCTCCTCTTGAGCACCTCAAAGGGGAATGCTACAGATAGTAATGTCGACTAATGGTGCCATGATCAAGATTTTGCAGCTTTGTGAGTCACTGCATATGAGGCTGACAGCATGTTACCAATTCTACGCTTGTTGGGGCGATCTGCCGCACTAAAGGCGGCAAGCCCCAAAACTTGGTTATTTTGATTTCTTTTCAGCCTATTTTCCTGTCTTCCTTCCAAATATCTTGATTAAATATCCTCGCACTCCTCTATATTAGGGGCCTGGAAATGGATTCCCCGGTGATAGATGAGTTTCGGATTGATGAGTATGTCGCTAGCTCGACCGTAGTGGGTAGCAGCGATGAACCATTTGTCAATTCAATAACAAAGAATGAATTTATAGGAAGTTGGACATAAGAAACCAAGAAATTCAATTTATTGGTCAAACTTGACATAAAAAGCAGATGGCGGGATCAGAACTACCTGCAGGTCGTTGACTCCAGTCGGTACGGCCATCTAGGGCTAAACAAGCAAATAACCACACGCTTCCAATCCCCGGAATCTGTTCGTGGCTTCAGTTTGTGGCGGGTGGAGCCAGAACGCGCTCATCGGCAGATAAACCAGTTCTGTACATCTTGTTGATCAAACTACTGCTGATGGTGGCGGTGTGTGTTTCTCCAATCCGTCTGTCTATCTCGACCCACTTATCCAGAGCTGCTTTTCTTGTTGGGTCCCACGTATCAGAAGAAATGACTTCATCTCGAAATTGAGCCGCGTGTTCGAATTCCAATCTCGCGCTATAAGGATATCCCAGGACTTCATGCGATAGACTAAGAAGAAGAAAAGTGGTAGCGGCATCCTGGTTCAGTTGCCTGTTTTGAGTATAATCGAAGTCTGTCCCAAGCTGATTGATGCGTTTGGACAAATGTGCGCAGATGTAGCTCATTTCTGTGTATCCTCTCCTACTCCAGAGTTACTCGATGGCGGTGTGACATAGCAGCATGTTCTCGTGACTGCATGGCTCTAACTCGGCGTCCACCCGAGCCAGAGTGTTTCGAATACTCCCGAACGTCATTCCCTCGTACAGGCTGTAGAATCCACCCTCGTCTGTTCTTGGAAATCGGGCTTGGTTGTACGAGATATATGCTTTGATAATGCTGCCAGATGATTGTTCCATCCATAGTAAACGGCAATAAGCATCGGATGCTAAATAAAGAGGGCGTATCTGGTCGAAGATCAGTGCATATGCAGTAGCAAATATAGGCTGAAGACCTGAACAAGGTGAGAATAGAGCATGAGGTAGAAAACAGAGTACTGCTGGACTATGATAGTTGAAATATTCAATAAAGATTTCTAGCTGAATACTAGACAGCATGGCCTTGACTATCTGGTTGATATGGCCCATAATAAATCAATATATTGATGTAGTAAACATACCGGTGTAGACTCGGAGTTTGATAATGATCAGTATTATTCTGGTCAATTAGGAAAAGGGAGATAGTCTAAATCCTTGTATTAAAGATTATGGGGAAAGTTGGGACTTTTCCCGGTGTCTAATGTGAGGGCCCCATGTACTCGCTGATTAGGAGCACGTCTTTAGATGGGTAACCAATACTCGAGAAAGCTATGATCAAATCTTTCTACAAAATAAAGCGTGAGAAAAACAAAAGTTTGCACATCTAACTTTCTCGTCGTCGAGTCAGCTTACGCGTCTAAGACCCACTACCTCTGTAGATAAGGACCGGTGAGGTGATAACCACCAGGCTGCCATTTTACGCACTTCTAGTCCACGCGAGGGAATTACATGGGATATCAAGGGATGATTTTGGATCAAAGTCGCACGTGCAACTTTAAGTACAATTCATTGCGAGATATTTAGATCCCTGTACCGCGTTGACGTTGATATTAGTCACTCAAACATACAGTTGCTACAGCCCAAAATTGGTGTCATCATCATTGACACAGTCTTGCCTGAAATGTTTGATCTAATCACCGCGTTCGCAATAATCGCCCTTCTGGTAGGGGGACGAACAGTCTTGGCTTCGCAAAGGTCCGCCGGTTTTAGTAGAGGACAGAAGATTGCTTCTTTCTTTTCTCTCATCCTCTATCTCTGCGGCGTCAGTCTTTTTGTATGGGCACTTCTACCGCGAGGTACAGTGATACATTATGTTCTCTCCGGATCTGGCTCAACATCTCATTTGTGGCAGGTCTCATATGCTTTAAGCACGAACGGTTGGGACATATCCTGGCACAGATCAAGGAGCTCTATCCTAGCCTTGATAGAGCATCTAGTATTGTATTGTTGGTTTCTGCAGGCCTCTTTGTCCTTGGGCTCTGCTTGAAAGTCACAGCATTTATGAAGCGATGTACAGTAACTGTCTTCCACCATGATAAGAATTACCTATTGATTATTTCGCCATAGGTAGCATGCCCCAGAAGGTGTCAGACGGCCGCAAACCAGTCAGGAGCTTTAGCAGCAAGCAATAAATGGGTTATATGTTCATTCAGAGACGAAGATAAGATATGGAGATGAGGGCACCGGGTTTTGGCGGACTTAGGGTCTTCTTAGTTAAAAACAAAGAAATGTGGAAGCATACTCTAGCAAAATGAACTTTAAGTAAAGCTTCAATGTCCTGGATACTGCAAAATTATAGAAGCAATGATGTCCAACGCAGCTGTCTCGGTCGAGTTGGGATAGACTGTCGGATCGGCAGCCAACTGCTAGGCTAGTAAGACTAATTAACCCCTAGCGAGAAGACAAAACTCTGACATGCTGATGCCCTCTGGCCATTGCCAAGATTCTTTGGGAAAAGATGTCCAACAATATCTGGTTAACAAAGTCTGACAGTGCCTGGTGGTATTCTCTGGGCCTCTACCAACCTTTCCATGTTCTGGCAATCCTCCATGCTGCGTAGGTCTTCGGTGTTTGGGTAAAGAGCCGGTATCCAGACCGGCGGAACAAGTATGTTTTTGTTCTGGGGGCTTCTTTGACTACTGGCGTTCCAATGGCCAGTCTTGTACAGTTCTTTGCCATCACAAACGCGAATGTCATGGTAAGCAAACACTATTCTAGTTAATTTCTTTCATATTACTAACTCTTTCCATCCTCACCGTGTTCCCCGTGACGAAAGGAAATGCCAGAAAAAGAGAAACAGTCCAAAATCATGAGTCATGATCAACTGCACTTTAGTACTAAATATCCTTTTGTTCTATCTATGTTTATATAATCCCATACTAGAAGCCTCTTATCGCAGTTCTACCAATATAGTATGTTATACAACGTAGTTTTCTACACTGTTCAGATCACATAACCATCGAAGAATTCAATCATTCGCATTCATCCACTAAAGGAGCATACCTCTTTATAGGTTCTGGTGGTGAGCCATAAAGAGGCCACAAAATATATCATGGGGTCAGCTGCCATGGAAACCTTCCCCTTTGGGAGAAAGGTCGAACACAACATCTCCTTCATCCGTTTTACTGCATGTATTTAGATCTTCTTCTTCATCAGACACATACAAACAAACACGCAATTCTGCACCTCTTTCATCTCCTTCTATTAGACTAAACTGCGCTTCCGACGCCTCGGTTCGAGGCGAACGCTGCATCAGGTGATTCGAAAATTCTTCAGACTAGAGTGAATATCCGGTGTTAATTCACTTCTCACAAGCTGCTGTGATGGAATTTCCCCGACCTCGGTCAGTCTTATACGTCTCAAGAATCCTCGGAATATATTGGCTACGCGTCCTCACCTTGTGTTTTCATTCCTGCGCAGCCTTAGAGACTCAAATACTGCACATCGACTGTTAGCTACCAACCCCTCTTGTCCTGACTTCACCCAATCTGACAAGGACAACTTTACTCTAAGAATAGCGCTAGTTATCATCAATGTCAATATGCTTGACAGACTACCCCCTGAGGTTCTTCTCATAACACTAGAAGTAAGTGAAATCTGCGCCTAACGGCCTGAATTAGCCTTTTCCGAAGCCGGCTGACTTATCACAGTACATAACCCGCCATGATCTCAACAACATATGCCGTGTTTCCAAGCACCTCTACGCTATTGCAGTTCCACTTCTGTACAAGTCTGTAACTTTAATATCCGATAGACCTGGAATCAGCGAGACATGGCACCATGTTGACTCCCTACTCCGAGCACCTGCTTTCCCAGTTGACTCGCTAGTGCACATGAGAGATATCGAGATTCAGGAAAACCGCTTCTGGCCTTGGTGGGGGTGTCACCACAGCTATACGATATTGGAGCAAGACCATCCGGACGATTACAAAGAAGCTATAATAAGAAGGGATGAAATGCGCTATCTGTCTTCCAAGTTATTGCATGTGTTTTCAAGATGTCCGGCGGATAGGCTACAAAGATTTAGGTAAGCTTATAGCACAGGTTATCTGCAAAGTAAGATCGGCTAACATAAAAACATTATACCACAGCTGGAACATTGGCACATGCTTACCTAGCAAATTTCTCGGTGACTCTGGATATCTTATATTAAATCAGCGCAAGCTTGTAGCTATTCATCTAAGAACAGGTAGCTGTTGTGCCGCTGGCGGCAGTGATATCTTGCTATCAAAGTTTGCGTGTTTAAGAAGCATCTCATGGCCTGACCTATGTTATGAACATCATGTTCGTGAACTGTGTCTAGCACTGAAGTCGAATGCGTTCCACCTTACCCGACTGAACTTGGGAGTCACAGGTATATCTACTGATGAAGTAACGCAATCCATACAATCAATGGTTGCCAAAGAGATCTTGGACATGCATGATTGGAGAACAGCCTTTCGATTTCCTGTTCTTCAATACCTCTCATTTCATAACATGGATCTGACACCGATATCCCACGTGCTTTCATCTATCTTCAACATCTCCTCACTTCAATCCTTGAGTCTGCGTCAATGCACATCCTGGGAGTATGCCTTACTCAATTTAACCAATTCTGGATCCAGGATCGCCTTGAAGTCTTTGACACTGGAGACGTATACGGAACGAACTGAAGAAGATAGTATTCTTGCAATACCAGCTTTCCTTAAATCATTCGAGGGGCTAGAAGAGTTGTACATCTTTGTCCTTGGTTCTATAAGCCCAGTGCCTGTATGGCGTTCTGTGTTTACTCACAAGAAAACATTGAGAAAGCTCGTATTCCAGCAGATATATTTTGATGCATACCAGTCCGAGGAAGATGGTCTTTACTCGGGTGCAACCGGTTTTCTTGAGCAATTGGCGGGTGCTGACCAAAACCCATCCGTTAGTCCCAATCTTGTGTTTTTGGGCACATCCAGCAATGATTTTAACACCCTGGTACGCTTTACCTATCATTTAAATTCTCAAATGCTATTGCAATCACTAATACATAGACCATATCTTTAGAAGTCTATTCTGACCTCGCCAGGTATCAAAGCAAATATTCGCGTTCTCCATCTGAGACAGTGCAAAGAATGTTACGATCAGTCATACTTGATAAACTCCGACTGTTTGGATGATATCATCAATAATAAGCTGCCATCGTTTCGTCAGTTCCTGGCATGGGCATTTGGACCCGAAGGCCCCCCTGAACTTCAAGTGGTGGGGCATTGCGCCTTCGTCTTCATGCAGCCTTTAAGCGATGTGTTCTACTTTAGAGATGCACAACACGAGGATGGATATCGTTGCGTTTTTCGGCGTCGCACGCAACTAGTCGATTTTCTTCGGCAGTATGATTATGCTTTAGATGCATGTCGTTGTGATGACTATCTTATGGATTGACGGACTGACGGACTGACGGATTGACTAAATAATTTACTTGATAGCTACCGTGTAATTTCAATGAGAGGCAGACTCAGGTCGGACGACAATCCTTCTTATCTGGCATAGAAGCTTAGTTAAATATCATTAATCGATGAAGTGCCAATTATTACCCGTCTAACTTCCATAATTCACAAAGCTATGCGTACGCCTTGCGGGATTTATCCTCCATCCACACAATGGTACTAGGTGGTGTCTCAGTACAGTACGTGAGGCGTCCAATAAGGTGGTAGCTATCCGAGGATCCCTGTCAGTGCCAGATTGATTCCTGAGAAGACAAGGCTGAGCGGGACGCTTATGAGTAAGGTATATAAGAAACAAGCCCTTCCTCCCCATCCCCAGAGCTCTTCCCTTCCTCCCTCAAATGCTCGCCAACCCACTACTCAGCTTCCCCCCACCAAAACCTTTATCCTGCGGCTGGTACACTCGAAGAGTCATGTCAGGTCTCCATCAACGATGACATCTCCCTTGAGTTGTAAAAATTTCATTCCACACGGCAGCCGATCAGAGATCCTACTCCTACCACCGCGCAGCGATGATTTCATGACTTCTCACCCATGGACAGCAATGTACCTCATCTCGCCTCCCCTTCCGCGCGGAGTCTCCGCAGTCCAGTTCAACATCACGAGCCATGACCAAGGATGGTGCAGCGATAGAAGCCAGGGCATCTGGTCATGGTTCGATGTGTCCATCTTGTGCTCTGACCGAGATGGTGGTGAAGACCCTTCTTCCTTATTTTCTGACTTGTCGGATCATCCTTCATCATATCTCAAGTCTAGACCCGAAGATTTCCGCCAGGTTTTGCAGGATCAGGGGTTGCATTTCAAGAACATCCCCAAACAAGACCCAGATCCAGCCAAGCCGGGGAGTATTGCGAAGCGGATGGCTTCGAATCAAATCCAGAGGTCCTGGCAACAACATGTTGTAATTTGGAGAGTGGAAGATGGTGGTGAGGAAGCTGAGTTCCTGTCCTGTCTTGAAGAAGGGGATCAGTTGGTCGTTTGGGCTCGCACACAGGTGGGTTTGTGTCTAGTCTACAATAGTAGTAGTAGTAGTAGTCTTGATTGATAGACTATTATTACGGGAGGTGGTGCTGATCATCATGCTCTGATAGTTCCCTGGATGGATTAATTGTGTGAAAAATGTGGAAATAAAGGTCTCGGTTGATGAGGTGAGCTGTTTCATATCGATTCAGATGTGCGTTGGGGCATAGTTAGTTGACGCTATTCTGATACTGGTTGGTGTAGACGACTCTTAATACCCTTCCTGCCAGCGGTGGTGGTTCTGAAACGCGTCAAGAGGACATAGTCGATGGTGGTTTGTGACACTTAGTTCAATTGGGGCTTGGAGGAAGTATGCACTTGATCTGGTGCTGCTTGGGCTTCGTATATACATACCTATGTGCTTATGTTTGTACGTCTTGATGATCGCTGTATCTACTGGTAAGAATACAATCTTTGTAAGATTCGGGAATGTCATTTTATGGGGCACTCTTTTCCCAGTATCAAAAGTCAGTTGGGCTCATTATGCTGTTACGGATAAGGCGGTAGAGTAGTTAATGAATATGTCCAATTTATCAGTCTGAGTCATTCACTATACATTGAAACCAAAACCCCAAAACAGTATCCCTAATTCTACAAAAACCTTCCAAGTCATATAGTCATTCAAGTAATCAAAACAAAGCGCTATGTCCTCTTTTTCCTGTCCACCGCAGCTGCATGGCATATGTCAGGGGTGACCCGTGCATCCAACACTTCCTCATTTTTCCAGCAAGGCGCCTCAAGCCAAACTCATCGCCGTACTAATCGGCGCAACATACCATTCCCAATCATTACACCCCGCAACACTATCATCCGCTGCATCCACCGGCGAGCCCTTCAGCATATCACTATCCCTGGCCTGCCATATCTTCACGATGACAGCTCTCGTCCTTGCCACGTTCGAAACACTCGACTCAGCCATAGCTGCCAACGCACGCAACACCAACGGCCGGCCATATACCACGCTCTCGCCGGTATCATCGCGCCAGACTTCATCATGAAGCGGGTCCAGCTCAACGGCCGCTACGAAGACAGGCCAGGTCATGCTGACGAGGGGGCCAGAGTCAAGCAGGTGAGATACGAGGCGCAGAATGCGTCGGACGTAGCCGATTACCAGGGGTGTGGAGGGTGATGCGCCGTATAGTGCGCAGTGAAGGTATAGCACGGCTGCTAGGCGTTTCAGTTCAGCGGCGGAGCGGAGGCTTCCGTCGTCGCTATTGTCGTCATCGTCGGTTGTTTCCTGGACGAGGTTCTCGAGTCTGCGGCCTAGAGAGGCGGCGCGGTGGGAGAATGCTTTGCGAGCAGCTTCAGATGTCAGTTGGCGTCTTGTTCGGCTCAATTCGGTGATTGAGGAGAGGATGGAGACTAGCTCCGGGCTACAGCCCATCCAGAGGTCAATGTGGCGGTTGTTTTCTTGCCAGTAGTCTGTTCCGAATAGGACTTCTTCGCCGCAGGCGGTGCGTCCCATGACGTCTTGGAAAGCGAAGAAGAGCTCGGCAAAGGCCGAGACGGGGTCGAGGGATTGGCGAGGACGGGAGGGAGTTAGTTGTTGTTGTTGTCTACGGATCCGGATCAATTCTTTGGCACCTTTCAGGTGAATTGTCCAGCGTTGGTCGCAGTTGTCGACAATCTCATAGAGGCATAGCATCATCATGATTGCCAGGACCTCGGGGTCTGCGGAGCAGAGGAGTGAGCCTTCGGTTGAGAGGCGATAGCGGAGGCCCCGTAGGGCTTCGGACTTGAGGCGGAGCCCAATCACGCTGTAAGTTGAGTCGAAGCGGGACCAGTGACATGCTCCGAGAGCTTGAATGGCTTTGAAAAGAATTGGAGATGCGGACATGCAGAAGGGAAGGATGATGGAGGCGAAAGGGGAAGATAGCTTCGAGCTAGCGGTGGTCCGGGGACACACTTGTTGGAGATAGTAATCAAAGAGGCGACCCTGATTGGAGTCCGATAGACTGGGGAACATCGACAAAGGCGGGGCCAGGTGCGGGGAGACAAGTGGGACAGGCGAGCAGTAGTCGGAGAGCTCACGTATCGAGGATGGAGACGACAACGACGATGGTGATAAAGACCAGTCTGCATTCTCATCCAACAGGTCATCCAGCCCGAGCGCCGGGCTCTTCCCCTTGTCCCGGACAACGAGGGCATTCAGCTCATCACAAGCAACATTAACCTCATAAGGCTGTTCGAAAGTCGACACCCCACTATTGACAAACCCCCAGGACTCGATAAGCGGAATAGGACACCATTTATGATCGCGAAGGAGGAACGCAGCCGAAGACTTTCCAGGAGGAGGAGGAAGTCCGCCGGCAGCCCGAGCCTTACTCCAAACGCCGGCTCTACCAAAAGCCAAGCCGCGGCTAACGAACTCGGACTCCCACTTGAGAACGAGTTGGGTCGAGCATACTAAGCCCTTCTCAAGACATCTGGTGCAGATCGGCTTCTTCAGATCGCAGCGGACTCGACTGGCGCGGCATTCTTTACAGCCACTGCGGCTTCGGGTCTTGACCGGACCCACGCGGTCTGCAGCCTTCTTGCGCGGCATCCGACTAAGGGGAGGGGCGTCTTTACATGGCCGGGCAAAGATCCAGAGTAATAGAAGGAGGAGGAAACCTTCTGGCTCCGGGTTGCAGGAGCAAAAGAGTAACGACACTCCTCGCTCGGAGGGAGAGGTGCACTCTCGGCGTCGAGGCCACCACCAGCCGTGGCGAGATCACAGCGGACAGTCCCGAACGGTGAACCCAAGAGGGGCAACGGTGGGCTTGAGAAGATCCCTGTAGTGAGCACTCGGATTGGTCTGGCGAGCTGACCGGATAAGAGCTGCCGTGGCTTAATCTGAAGAAGCTGCGAGGCTTATCGAGACTATGACTAGTGACTTAGATAGTTGGTTATCACAATCCCCGAGGGGATCATGGCGCTGATAGTTAGTTATGACTAATGCCTGACTACACATGGGGTATTTCCGATAACAGGAATTACCAATTATTCCGTTCCGATGGTGACTTGATCTATTGGGCAAACAGGTTAGTTTTTAGTTCTTAGTGCCGTAAAGTGCGGCCATTTTCCATCAAATGGCCTGCTGGCCCAATGGTAAGGCGCTTGACTACGGATCAAGAGATTGCAGGTTCGAGTCCTGCGTAGGTCATTGGTTATTCTTTCCATCAAGCCCGGGTGGTCTAGTGGTATGATTCTCGCTTAGGGATTTAACCCAAGCATATCTGCGAGAGGTCCCGCGTTCGATCCGCGGCTCGGGCCTTGAAAAAGATAACCTTCATTTTTTTCTTCATTTCTTTTGTTTGCTCCTTTTTTTGGAGGGGGAAGGAGGGAGGCGTGGCGTAGGACTGGATGAGTAAGTCGTATTAACCACTCTGACTAGAATTGCAGAGACATCTAATGGCGTAAAGACACATTTCAAATGTATAGTACAGGATAATAGGTAGGAGTTCAACGACTACCATAACCCACATCGAAGAAGGCATGAGAGGACTGAATATATATATCTAGTACCAGATAGGAGCTTAAGGAGGGTCTATATAAGATATAGATAATTCTTCGTGGTCGCAACATTTCATGAAGTTATGGTACAGACATATCTTGCAGAGTATACTTCCTTATACGCACGCTGAATTCACGATTTTCTATAAAAATCTGCATGGAGGAGGATATTGCCTATATATTACTCAGTCAAAGTCTGCATTGCCTCTGGCAGCATTTCTGGAGGCTCAACCAAAGTTTAACGGAGTCAATAAATCAACCCAACGCTTGAAAAAAACCATGTATCGCTTCATAAGTACTGTATACATCCCATACGAGCTTAGCTAACCCTTTTCCATCCACCCAATAACCTCTTGTCGTGTCATAATTTGCTCTTTATACTCCTCACGACCATGTCGCCGGCCCAAAAGTCTCATTCCCCTTCAACTCCAGCCATGGCGTGCCCTTGCTATCCACCGTCCCACTATTGACTGTGTTACCCCACCAGTTGAAGGTAATCCCCGGGAATGTCAGTGCGAAGAAGATTACAATGGCCCCAACAGCAACTCCTGAATCCAATGCTGCAGACAACACGTAGTTGTACTTGGCCCACCAGTGAGGCTTACGGCCTTTGATGATCTATAGATGGTCAGGTTGTCGACCTTCGTTATAATATGAAGATAAATGACTCACCTTGTTAAAGATCAGACTGACTACAAACGCCGTGGAGTAGTTGATACCCGTCTACCGCCAACAGTTAGCATAGAGAAGCACTCTTGGCAAGGGGGTTTTCCGTACAGCAGGAGGCAAGTTACCCGTGCCGGCAAAGAAGATCGGCCAGTGGATGGCGTCCAGGAACCGAGACTTGGGGTACTTCTTGCGCAATACAAAGGTAATAATAGGGAGCAGTGCTCCGATCCAGAAAAAGTGCAGAAGACCGGAATAAATCTTTCCAATATTGTATAGTCTGGTAGGTCCGATAGCTGTAGCATTGTTAGTGAGATCCTGCGCCGGCCAAAAGAAGCGGTGGAGTGATCATACCTCCCCATAGAACGGCACTGTTATAGTTGACCCGACCCTGCGGACAGGTAAAGTTGTCCGCTTGGTCCTCCGAGCACACGTCTTGCACATTTCCAAGCATCCAGAGCAGGACCCCATCTTTCCGAATCAGCGGTCTGCAGTCAAAAAGCGGATGTACAGAAATCACTCACTCTGCGTCAAAGTTCCCAAAATGCAGGCAACCAGCTGCGCAACGAACAGAGTCCGCCGCGGGATCTTCATATACATTCCAAGCTAGATAATATATCTCAGCAAGGAGACTTCTTAAATATGTTCGCACAATCAACCGACCTTCATGTCTGCGCCGTAATACATGGCTTGGCTCAGCCCAGTGTACGCATAGAACTATCATTTGTCAATCCTGACTTCGCAGATGAGATGTCCTGACCTGAGATCTCACCTTGAAAATCAAAAGAACGAGCGGTTTCCCTTTCAGCAGATAGCCGGACACGATCTCTCCCAGGACGGTCAGACAGTTGCTGTTAAGGTTTGCCACAGCATATACTGTTCCAACTGGGATCACATAAATCGCTGCCAGAGCCAACGTGATGAACAAGCCCCAGAACGGAAGCCCTGTATGCCAGACATACTGGGTCATGATCGCAAGAGCAACGATAACAACCTTTACTGTTAGCTTGTTCGAACCAGAGGGAAGTAATGCTTACAGTCAATGCACCGTACCACCACCATGGTACATCGGGGTACTGGGAAAGTAGCCTGGCATGGATATCCTTTTTGTTCTCTCCCTTGAAAGTCTGAATGATATCTTTTGTATGATAGAGAAGTACGTGCGTGATCAAACACGTCAGGACTGCAAAACCTACTCCGTAACTCAAGGAGAAGGTCACAGGCAAGAAAAGGGGGCTATACGCTTTGTACTTGTCCTCATCAAAGACTCCTTCGCTGTTCAGGATACGACTCGAATCGTAAATACCTCCAGTATTGTCATATGCATCAGAGCTCGTGAGGGGAAGATACGCCGTGTACCACGTGTTGGTATAATAAAGGATTGGGGCCGCCACGGCGTATATCAAAAACCAACCCGCAAAGACATTGGCCTGTGCCCAGTACGGGATGGTCAAGGGAGATGTGTTATACGCAATCTGGCTCCAATCAAATGTCGTGGGCATATATCCCAGACCCGTGGTCATACCGAAGAGATTGTTGACGACCTTATTGTCTAGATATCATGTTAGTTCAGAGCCCTTCTTTTGAGTCAAGGTATATCCCAACATACTAGGAGCTGCCCAGCAAATGAAGGCAAAGGTACTCAGTCCAGTAAAAATATATCCAGGAAACCAATACCAGCAGAAACTTCCAATGCAGACAATAAGGAAGAACCGGTATCGCGAGATTCTCCAGCCGTCGGCGATTGGGTTCGCTCCACTGTGCAGTGTTTGAAAGAGGGCTGCGTTTGCCAGTGTCGAAGGCCAAATCTGAGCGGATCTGGTTAGTGTAGATCTCCTCAGAGTTTGTCCTCCCCACACTTACCATTTGAGGCGGCTCAATGATGTATCTGTATGACAGCCCAGCAAGCCCAAGACCAAACAACTGCATCGACAGCGATAGCAAGATCTGATATCCTACAGGTGTTGACATCTTAAGATACACCTTTTGTGCCTGGATAATCGCACTTGCCTGTCACATATGTCAGTATCTCCTATCCACTCTGGCCACTTTGTGACTTGAGACAACTCACCCAAGATTGGTTGAAACTGAGGTTAGACATGATCGTAATCACTGCGTGCTCCTTGATATTGAAGTGGTGGTCCGGGTTGATGTCCAAGTCCCAGCGCCCAAACAAGCGCACCTTCATGATAGGCAGGGCTTTGGCAAAGAAACATCCCACGGGGTAACTAAGCAGCTGCGCTACCAATGAAGTAATTGTCACACTGGGATATCGCATAGAGAAGAATTGATTGACGCCTGTACCAAGCTTTGAATAGAGTCAGTGTGCTAGATACAATTATATGTCTCTTGGGTACCTACGAGAGTGAAGACAACCCCCAAAAACCACATCCGAAATGTGTTAACTGGTAACGTAGGGTCATCGGTGTTTGGAACATTGGCTCGCACTTCCAGGTATGGAGAGTTGTCCGAGTCGATAGTATATTCAACATTGCTGCTGTCGCCAAGGGCAATGTCTAGGGCATCTGCACTGGCCACGGGCTTCTTGGAAATGCCGTCGTCGCGCAATGTAGGGTCCCCCGCATATTCCTCAACGTCTGCATCGTGGGAGGTCTCTGTCCTATAGCGAGCCATGACACTGCTATCAGGCACTCAGAGGTTGCCAGGTCCCTTGAAGAACAAAATTTGAAAGGGTTTAAGAGACTGTTCCCGATGCCACGGGGAAGCATGGCAAGACAACCGACAGTGGCCATTCCTCCCTTTTATAACAGGATACTGCCGGCTTGGCTTCTCCCGGCATATCATATCAACGGACTTTCATGTCGCTGTGTAGATAGGGCCCGAGGGCAGCGACGAGATAGAGTATACAATGTACGGTAGGTTATCCCAGTAGAACATTCTGTCCGGTTGCAAAGGCAGGAAACTAAGAACACGGCGAAGTGAAGAAGTAGATATGCGGCAACGACTGCTATTGGACCCATGACAAGCTCAAAGCAAGCCACAAGACGATTGTACGGGTTGGGGAATAATAAGGTAAGGTCCAAGCGAACGAATAGCCGGTATGCACCTAGTGGCTAATACTTTGTTGCGACCAGCCCAAAGTCTGGTCATTCTAGTGCTATCTCGCATTTAGGCTAATGCAGCCCTCTGTTCCATCCGCCAGTATCTAGCATAATTTCGTGGCGATGATTCGACATGCCAACTACCGGCAGGGAGGGGGCTCTCGGTCTTGCTCCGCACACACTTCGGATTGGTTGGCCGACGTCGGCGGAGTGGCGGGCCATTCAAGCACGCAAAGATAAAGCTAGGATTGAGCTTTGGTGGGCCAGGATAAGACGCGTTGGACAGTGCACGCGGGGGGAGATTTTGTGTTTGTCGGTCCCATAGGGTAACCGGGCGGTCGCTACCGCTCGATAACCACCGCGTGGACCTTCCTGCCTATCGGTGGGTAAGACAAGCCCGACATCTGATGATTCATTGCCCTGGTCGTCGCCATTGTAGTACTGTAGTATAAATGCCACGTCTCGTATATCCTTCATAGGATCCTCTTATCCCGTCAACGAGTTGCTTCACTTGGAAAGCTGTGCAGGTCAAGAGCCATCCAATTGGTGCGGCATAGCGATCTCTTTTTCAACACCCTCTCCAACATCGTTGACCGCGCCCAAAATACATCGCAATGGCAATCACCAAATCTTCCTCCATTTTGATTGTTGGTGCGGGCACCTGGGGCTGCTCTACTGCCCTACACCTGGCTCGCAGAGGCTACACCAATGTGACTGTCCTGGATCCTTACCCTGTCCCCTCCGCTATTTCTGCAGGAAACGACGTCAACAAAGTCATTTCTTCCGGCCAATACAGCAACAGAAAAGATGAGATTGAGGTGAACGAGCTTCTGGGAGAACAAGCGTTCCAAGGATGGAAGAACGACCCTCTCTTCCAGCCCTACTACCACGATGTCGGCCTCCTCATGTCGGCGTGCACATCAGCTGGCTTGGACCGCCTTGGTGTCCGAGTAAGGCCCGAAGCCGACCCGAACTTGGTGGAGATGTCGCGGCCAGAACAATTCCGTGATCTTGCTCCTGCTGTGCTCAAGGGAGATTTCCCGGGGTGGAAGGGTTACTTTCTTCGCTCCGGTGCCGGCTGGGCTCATGCCCGGAATGCTCTCGTCGCTGCCGCCAAGGAAGCACAGAGACTTGGTGTCAAGTTCGTTGCTGGTTCGCCGGCAGGCAGAGTCATCACCCTTATCTTCGAGAACAATGATGTGAAGGGTGCCGTTACTGCTGATGGCAAAATCTGGCGTGCGGAGCAGACGATCCTGTGTGCGGGTGCAAGTGCCGGGCAGTTCTTGGACTTCAAGGACCAGCTGCGCCCAACTGCTTGGACGCTTGTACATATCGCTCTGAAGCCTGAGGAGCGCGCACAATACAAGAACATGCCAGTCATCTTCAATATTGAAAAGGGCTTCTTCTTTGAGCCGGATGAGGAGCGCGGGGAGATCAAGATCTGCGATGAGCATCCGGGATACACAAACATGGTTCGATCACAAGATGGGAAGCTGCAAAGTCTTCCCTTCGAGAAGACACAAGTGCCCCTGGAATCCGAGAAGAGGGTTCGCGCGCTTCTCAGAGAAACTGTGCCTCAATTGGCAGACCGTCCGTTCAGCTTTGCGAGAATCTGCTGGTGCGCAGACACCGCTAACCGCGAATTCATCATTGACCGTCACCCACAGCACAAATCACTGATTCTGGGATGTGGTGCTTCTGGCAGAGGTAAGAAGCCACGCCATAGCCCCAAACAAGATGCGTTTCCGTTACTAACACGCACCAATAATAGGCTACAAATACCTACCGTCCATCGGGAGTCTGATTGTCGATGCCATGGAGGGTAAAGTTCCTCAGAAGGTCCACGATCTCATCAAATGGAGCCCAGAGATTGCTTCGGATAGAAACTGGAGCGACACTCTGGGACGATTTGGAGGCCCCAATAAGGTGATGGACTTCCACGATGTCAAGGAATGGACCAGTGTACAGCATAGGGACATTTCCAAATTGTAAGAATAGGTATGAGTAATGAATATCCAAATTTGACAACATTGAGCGCACAATACAATAAAATCTCTACTATAAAGACGAGCGTCCAAAGTAACGGTACATCAACAACACAAAAATCTAGGGTATCACAGAAAGAAACAGGATGGTGAAAATGTGGCAAATGACATCTACCTCTAGGAGGATGTAGATTCTGCAAGTTGATATGACTCCCGAGCATCCCACTGACGCGCAACAGATGCAGAGCCCGGAAGCTGCTGTTCCTCATCACCAGGCAGTTTGGAGAATCCATCTGGTCCGATGATATCGTCTCTCCCATATGGGCAGTCGCAGGTTACTGACCGAAGGGCTGGATAATAGCGTCGGTACGAGAAATAGGCTATTATCAACCCAAGTAGCGATCCACAAGTAACATCATATACATCGTGGCGGTAGTCGTCCAGACGAGAGATAGCAACCAACGAAGCGCAGAGAAGCGGAGCGAAAGCCACGAGGCAGCGACAGAGGTCGGTCCTCGGTCTGAACACGTGCATTTGACCGGAAAGGAACCTGGGTAAACGATTAGTGTTATTCTATGGGTTGTCGCGGCATACAAGCTTACAGTGACATATAACCGAGCCCACCAAATGAGAAGCTACTGTGGCCACTGGGGAAACTCCTCCATCCTTCTTGGAGGATGTGCTCGTTGGTTTGAGTACACACCGTCCATGAGACCAGCAAGTCCTTTGGGGTCCCTTTCCTTGGTAGACAGCGAGAAATTAGATCAGGGCGAGGTCGTCCAGCGGCGTTCTTGATAATGTCGGTAATAAGGCTCGTTAGCATAAGCGCGATGAGGAAGCCCAGCAAGGTCACTTGGACCTTGTGAGGATAGGGACGGAACACGGCCGCCCAGGCGAGGAGAACGAGGAACGGAATGACTCCAGCATAAACGATAGACCAAACTGTAAACCGATAGTAAGCATCGAGAGAAATTCGGCGTTGCTAGGGCAGGGTGCAGTATCTCACCGACTGGAACTCTCTCCACAACAGCGAAGGGATACTGGATACTTTTATTGTCAAGGGAGAACATGCGATGAAACGGGGTCGCAAATATCTGGATCTGCAAGAAACGTCTTGATTAGTGCATTAACCAATCGAGAGGCAGGTCTGAAGGCGTACCAGTATCCACGCAGCTACAATGCACGCCAGCGCGACAGCGTCGACGACCGGGTACGAGCGCTGATACAAGCGGGACATTGTGCTAGTTGCTTCTCTCACTGGAGAGCGGGGGCTTGCTGAGCCAGCAGCAAGTCCACTGCGAGGCATTTTGTGGCGCTCAGTTCGTATCTACAGCGCTCATGAGAAACCAGCGAAGAGTCAGCGCCTGGCTGGATAGAGTGGTTGGGAAGTTGCGCAACGAGGGCCGTAGTTAGTGGATGGTGAACAAGAGCAAGTGGCCGCCTGGCATGAGCACGGGCCAACAACACCGGACATCTCCGCATTGCGCCGACTCGACTGTCCACATTCTTTCCTGCATTCACCTCTTGATCTCGTGTCCATCGCGTGCTACCAACTACCCCGACTCGATTATCGCACCATAGCTGTCAATTTCACGAGAATACCATGGCCGACGCCGCACAGCAACGGACGCTCGCAACTGCCTTTGCCCCGCCGCCTCCGCTATGGAAACACTTCACGCCCGATAATCTGAAGAGGCTCGAGGAGGTCAAGAAAGAGGCATCCAAAGGCGAGGATGGAAAACCGCAGAAAAAGAAGTGGTCACCTGCCGAATTGCGCGCTCTCGATCTGCCACCAGAGCTTCGGCTTCTCGTCCCACCAGCGATCCCTGACTCCGGTCATTACAGCGTGTTCGGAGAGCTTCAGAACGTAAGTCTTCGATCATTGCCTTGCTGTAACTCTACTAATGACACATCACCACAGCTTTCAACTGCTTTACCGTCCTTGAAAGATCAAGGCATCACCCAGCTGTACCCTTCCTCGTCTCCGGCAGATACCGACCGTCAATCGCCCTCGGAGCCATCCCGGCCGCTCAACCACGCATACTACCTCCTCAAAATCAGCAAATCTCTCCTCCTAAACTTTCTCGAATTCGTCGGCGTTCTATCCGTATCCCCGGAGCAGTTCGAATCCAAAGTCGAGGACTTGCGCAATCTCTTCATCAACGCACATCATCTCTTGAACTTGTACAGACCACACCAAGCTAGGGAATCCCTGATCATGATGATGGAAGAGCAATTGAGTCGAACCAAGGAAGAAATTCAGCAGATGGACAAATTGAAAGCCGAGATCACGGGTGTTTTAGAACGGTTGGAAGCAGATGGCAACGCTGCGCAGTCACATCCCCAGCAGACCGATGAGGACGGTGAAAAGAATTCGGAAACAAGTCAAAAGACCATCGAAGATGCACGGTTAATATGGGATCTCCTGGACGGGAAGATTGAGGGTTGAAGGTCGCGAATGCCGATAACTTCATGCTCATCCAGAAACCACCAACAAGAGACCTATTAGCTTCTGCTACATCACCTGCCAATCTACAGCCAAGTTGCAGATCAGGACCATGTCAGTACTCGTGGAAATATGACCGAATTGCGAAATTTACGAGCTATACGTCTATACTATCGCGATCAAGTCTGGACTGAGTCCGCTCAACAAGGGCCGGCGATCAAGCCAAATACAGGCAAACACAGTCCACAGTGACCAAGGCCCAAGCATCCAAACATTACATACGCGCTTCACGGGCACCACAGACCGGAAAGCATCCACTTTTCGATACCCATAAATTCCACATTGCGGTCGGGAACAACATGGTTCCGCGAAGATCACGTGTGGCGCTAACGGCGCGCGTTTAAATTCCCACCAAATTTTCTCCCGCAACTTTTCTTCACGCATACAACAACGAAGAATTCGACAATGGCCAAGCTAGTTCTTTGTGGACTGAGCGGTATTGGAAAGCTTGATGATGCTTCACATGCTGCTCAACCTTTAGGTCCAGCTTATGGCTCAATTGACATTCACAAGAGTATTGGTAAGTCGAGCAATATGTCTCCTACTTTGGCTTATATGATGATTTGCGTATTATCTTTGTTTCAACCCCATCTGAAAGTACAAAATTGTACTCTTTGATTATAACTGCGCATATAATATCTGAAATAAGCTTTACTGCTTTTTGTTGCTTTGCTTGCAATCACAAAAGAATGTTTGAACTGTCTGGCTGACTTTGTTCAAGATCTAGGTTTTTCATTCTATCACTATCATGAAAATAAATACGAATATAATATTCATTGAAACCAAAATTTTTTTCTCGTAAACAAGTGTAAAAGTCTTCTATACGATGTAACCAATCGCGTCCGTTCACCGATATGTTGAATCCCTCCTTGGGCGCCCCCTAACAGTCATCCCTTCCGAAATAATATAACCAAACGCCAAGTCTTCTAGTACCTGTATATACCCTGTAACCCAACAAATAAACCCCAATGTAGTAGACCCATGCTTAACCAGAACGCTCATGCCACGCTTTCTCAATCGCACAACTAGCCAGTCTATACAACTCAGCCACAAAATCCGCAATCATCTTGATATGCACGATTTCATTGACCGAGGACGGTTGGCGCAGGAAAATCCTTTCCAGCATGCTCATTGCCGTTTTGAGTAGGCCGAGATCTTTGGTGGCCTGGGGATCGGAGGGGTTTTGAAGGATATTGCAGAAGATGGCTAGCAGGGCGGACATGGGGTAGAAGATGAGGGTCCTGAATACATCGTTGTTAGTAGAAGGTATTGTTGAAGAGTGGGAGTGGGGGGAAGAGAAACGTACCAGAATATACCGTCAATCAGGACATGTTCTGATGCTTGAAGGTAGAGTAGTGTCGAACGACTGGCTTCGACGGACAGAGCTAAGCTGGAATTTACGCCGTGCATGATTCCACCTTCTTCTTTGGACCAGTCCCTGCATCGACCACTGGCTTGGTGGATGATTGTCATGCAGAGATGGTAGTTTAGTCGCAGTATGACGGAATGCATGTTGGCGTTTGGGTCGGGGGTTTCTTTCACGAAGGATAATGTAGGCCGCCATGCTAGAGGTATCGACAGTCTCCATTTCTCGAGCTCGTCGTCCAGTTCGCGAATTTCTTTCAGTATCTCAGCGTCCGTTTTCTTCAGACCTTTGAAAGAGTACAGGGCGTTGTAGGCACGAGCCTTGATTATACTCAGGCGGATATCCACTGGGAAGACTGGATCTTCGGGCATGTCTTCTGGAGGTATTTGCCGGCAGTCGAGCGGGAATTTGAACAGATTCTCACTGTAACTGGCGGGTATTGTCAAGTCACAGTTATCTTCCGTAAATAGCTGGGGCTGTCCAGTCCGAAGGGACACATCTTTTTCAATGGTGTAACCAAGCCAGAAGAGATATCGGATTTGTCTCTGTGACCTCATGGCGATCTCGTTTTGCGGCGTCTCCGGATCTTCTGGCATTGAACTAGTAGTGTGTCCACCCAATATGAAAACCATGCGTGCTGCAATTGAACCGTAGTAGCTGGCTGACTGTAAGTTGCCGGTTACTAGCTCGAAGAGTGCCTATCAATGAGGTCAGCGAATGAGAAAGTATTTCTAGAGACTTGGGATGTGTGGTCCTAGAGCAACCAAAATCTAAGGGCACAGAGGCCAAGCGGGCTTAGAGGATTAGGACTCACCATCATCGATATCACCTGTAGCCCCTCCACCGAAGCAGACTCTTGCAGAACCTGAGGCACTAAGCATTGTGCTCTCGTGAAGTAGGTCTCACTGTTAAGAGGGGCAAGCTTTCGGAACTCGTGCTCGAATTCAAGAGGTGGTACTAGAGAGGTAAAGGCAGCAAAGGCAAGCACACATGCCTTGGTGCTCACTTTTCCATACGGAAGCCTGGTTCGTGGTTGCTGATAAGCGTTCTCAATAGTCTCCTTGAAAAGGACAGGATCCACAACTGGAAATATACGCCTTACGAAGGACATACAAAACAGCCTGAAGTAAGTGTCTATAACGTTTCGATCAGGCAGCTCGAATACGCTTTCGGGATGAGGATTCATCGCCAGCGCATTGGATGTTAATGCCCGTTGTCTTTCCCACGGCGGCTTGTTGGAACTGACTAACTTGCTGAGCGCAATATTCTGTCCGGTCCGTGATTGAACCCATTGTTTGCCCTCTGGGAGCAGTAACGGAATGCCCGTGAACAGGTTGATGCATCCTAACTCGCGACCTGCGAAATGTAGAGGTACCGAAGAAGAACCCGACTTCTCATTGAAAGTCGAAGATTCTCTCGAAAAGTCGTGGGTGTATTCAGAAGAACGCGACCCTATAGGAGACTCATGATAATCGATACTAGGTGGTGTTGCAGAAGGAGCTGTGTATGTTAGTAGATGGAGATTAGACGTTGACTCGGCATACTGACTAGGCTCCTTGAGAAGGTTCTCCGTAAGGAACTTTTCTATGCGCTCAATACGCTCGGCCAGCCCGGGCGTTTCTTTCTCTCTAGATCAAGATACACTGTCAGATGAGGCTCCAGCTACTATATTCTTTAGTAGGAGACAAAGAGTTATACCCTTTTGCATCACTCTTGGCTTTCCGCTTCCGAGTAATGACCCGGTTAAAGGTACATGGAATGTCATGATGACTGCACCAATTACACTGAGGCACAGCCGCATCACATTTGATCTACAGATGGTCAAAAAGTTACTCTGAAGCACGCTCAGAGAGCAAAACCGACCTTTCTTTTGTAGCATGAATCGCAGGCCCGGGATATACGCTTCCTATGCTTTTGGGAGTCTTCTTCCGACCTGTCAGCAGGCGCCGGAGAGTGATACATTTTATCTGACGTCCGCAAGGAACATATATGCCGTAGTAGATCAGTAGTCTTCACAGGAGAAGACAATAGCAAGGAGATAGGAAGCTGACGGATGTGCCGTAAGGCGAAAAGCTTCCGACCCGCTGACAAACACGCAACTGTGGGCCGGAATTACGTGGTTAGTAAGCGGAGATAAGGATGGTCCAGACCCAAATCTTCCGACAAGAATAGCAACCAGTAATCTACTTAACGTTGCAAATTTCATTTCACGTCACATCATAAATTCGTAAGTCCTAACTAAATAGTCATGTTATACACAAAAAATTGAACTGCACTGGATCTACCAGTAGATCAGTGCAACCGTCTTCACAGGCAAAATTAGGCCTCTATCACGGCCTGCTCCTCCTCATGCAACAGGTCTGCCTCGATAGCACGTCTACGAGCCTGCTCTGCTTCGCTCGAGTTATCCTTGAAGACCTGGTCCATCTCTTCCAGAGACCTGCCCTTGGTCTCAGGGACGAAGAAGAGTGTCCATACGAACGCCAGCGAACAGAAGACTGCAAAGAAAACGTAGGCGCCGTATCCGGTATCTTCAACAAGCGGCGGCGTGATCAAGCCCTAGTAAAAATTCATATTAGTACTACGCTGTATCTTGTTGTTATTTCAAGGTTAACTCACAATAATAAAGTTGTTCAACCAATTAGAGCAGGTCGAAAGGGCCACACCCTTGGCACGGAGAGAAGAAGGAAACACCTCTGCGATGAGTTAGACATGAGTGGCATTCCAACATTCAATGGGGGCAGATACTTACCAGCTGGCAGCGCCCATCCTACTGGACCCCATGAGCCACCAAAAGCAACCATATACAAAAGTAGAAGAGCGACGCTGGCCCAACCCGGTGCGCGGTGTGCGGGCCAGTTGTCGGAGTAGAGGCTAACCAAGACGGCCACGATGATATGGCAGATTGCCATGATAGCTACACCCCAAAGCAGAAGAGCCCGGCGACCGAACTTATCCATGGTGGAAATACTGGTGATCACACCCACCAGCTGTCCCACGTTCACGATACCCGCCATCAAGAGTTGCATGCTGTAGTCCAACCCCATAGTCTCGAACAGTGTGGGTGCGTAGTAAATGAGGGCATTGATTCCAACGAACTATCAACAGACTGTTAGTTGCTTTCCTGTATGATTTTCTGAGGCATCTTGCTGCTCACCTGTTGGAAGAACATCATCATGACACCAATGTGCGTCCTCCGCCAGCAACCCTTTTTGAAGCAATCGGCCCAGCATGCCAGATCGAGCAAGATTGCGTTCTTGATTCCACCACCCTGTAGATTTGGGTGCTTTTCTGCATTGAGTTCCTGATGGAAGCGAACCTCGGCTTTAATGTCCAGAAGCTCCTGTCTGACGCGCTTATCAGATGGAGGCAACTGACGCAGCTTCGACAGACTCTGAAGAGCCTCCTGTACCCTTCCTTTGGCAACAAGCCATCTTGGAGAGAAAGGCAGTACAATAACACCCGCCGATAAGATGAAACCCGGGATCAACTGCAGCAGGAAGGGAAGGCGCCATGCCCACTCTCCAGACATGTATCTAGTGCCATAGGTAATCCAGTATGCAATGACGATTCCAAGAACGATGAACAGCTCTTCCATAACCAGAAGCGTACCACGGCACTCGGGAGGACCTATTGAGAATACAGGTCAGCTGGCGCTCAATGTACAAGTCATGAAACCAGCCCGGTATGGAACAGTCATAATACTCACTAATTTCGGAGATATACAAGGGAGCCACCATTGACAGCATACCAATCCCCACACCACCAATGAGTCGTGCGACAGTCAACATGGCATAGTCAACCGCTGCTGTCTGCAATACTGATCCAACCGTGAAAATGCAAACTGCGACGATGATCGAATAACGGCGAGAGATTTTGTCCGCAATCCAACCCTGGTTCATGGCACCAAGGAATGCTCCTAGCTCGATCATTGCTGTCATCAAACCTTTCCAGAAGCCGGAGTTCACCTCGGGGAAACGCTCCAAGAATTGGTCCATGACCAGGATGACCGAGACTACACCTTGATCATACCCAAATGTGAGACCTCCCAGCGTCGAGCAAGCAGCACACATGAGGACGAATGGGTTTGCTATGAGTCCCCTAATACCTGGGGGGCCATAAGGCTCCCTTTCGGGGAGAGGGTCCTCTGCATGGTGAGCAATGCCCCCTTGGATGGATGAACGACCATCCGGAGACAGCTCCTTTGCAGGATCTATAGGCTTCTTATCCATCATGGGATATGAAAAGGGGAGTAAAAAAAAAGGAGAGATGATTGCTTCAAGGAGAAGGGATGGGTGTAGGCCCAGCTTGATCGCAAAAGCGATGCCTGTTGTCGCTA